TTCGTAAGCAATTCGTAAGCATGGAAAATGAGTTAAATTAGGTGCACAAAAATCTAATCTTGCTGTTGTAATTAAATCTAAACTGTTCACACCACTATGCAAACGCTCTGGGTAGCTAAGTCCGTAGGCGATTGGGGTGCGCATGTCGGGGTTTCCTAGTTGTGCTAGTACGCTGCCATCAATATATTCAACCATTGAGTGAATAACACTTTGCGGATGTACCACTACATCTATTTGCGAGGGAAGTGCGTTAAACAACCAGTGCGCCTCAATCACTTCTAAGCCTTTATTCATCATGGTCGCTGAGTCAATAGTGATTTTTGGTCCCATGACCCAGTTTGGATGATTCAATGCTTGCTCACGAGTTACAGCTTTTAATTCATTAAAAGATGCATTTCTAAATGGGCCACCCGATGCTGTAAGCAGTACACGTTTTACCCCCATCCTGCTTAATGTATTTCGTTTGTGTTGCGGCATCACCTGGAAAATCGCATTATGTTCACTATCAATAGGTAGCAATGTTGCGCCGCCCTCTTCTACCGCCTGCATAAACAAATTGCCCGCCATCACAAGCGTTTCTTTATTTGCGAGTAATACACGCTTACCTGCCCTTGCCGCGGCCATTGCCGGATGTAAACCTGCTGCGCCAACAATAGCGGCCATCACAATATCCACCTCAAAGTGAGAGGAAACTTCACATAATGCAGTATCTCCATGGAGAACCTGGGTGTGATTGCCCAAAGCTTTAAGTTGTTCACCTAGCATTTGTGCTGCTGACTCTTGCAACATCACTGCGTATTTTGGCAAATATTGCTGGCATAAGGTTAGCATGCCGCTCACGTTATTATTAGCAGTTAGGGCAAACACAGAGAAGCGCTCTGGGTGCTGTGAAATGACATCTAAGGTATTTAAACCAATAGTGCCAGTAGCACCCAATATCGTGACGTATTGGCGCTTTACTAGTGCGTTATCTTGCATGAAGTTGTATATTTGCGAATAGAGGGAAGTAAATGTAAAACAACACTAAAGGTAAGCTGGAAATTAAACCATCAATGCGATCAAGCACACCGCCATGCCCAGGTAGTAGATGACTGCTATCTTTAACACCTGCTTGGCGCTTTAATAGCGACTCAAATAAATCGCCCATTACACTAAGCATTACAATCAACCACAAACCAGCAATCAGCCAACGACTAATATGAAGGGTGTGGCAAAGTGCTAAGCCATAAACAGTAACTGCTAAAAGCGCCCCAGCGACGCCTTCCCAAGTTTTGCCGGGGCTAATTTCGGGTGCAAGTTTGTGCTTACCAAATTTTTTGCCCGCAAAGTAAGCTGCACTATCGGCCAACCAAACGGTGATCAGCGTTGCAAGCAACAGCCATGGACTGATAGCGTGAAGTCCACCCAAAGCGACCCATGTTGCCAGCAACAAAATTAAACCAAGTAAAGCCATTGTAAATTTTGATTGTATGTACTTTCGTGTAAGCAACCAAACTGGAGATAAAGCTAACCAAAAGCAAGTGGATAAAGCCAATAAACTAAAGCTTACTTCATCTGAATAATGTCCGATTGTTGTAGTCGGGCTGTAAATGATGAGTGCGCCTATTAATAGCGCAACAGCGAGGTAAATCATAGTCGCCTGATTTTTTAGTTTAATCAGCTTTGCCCATTCCCAAACGCCAATGAGCGTAGCACTCAAGGTGATAAGCGACCAAGCCACTCCAGAAGTGTTAAACAAGGCGATTAAAAAGCCAAAAGCTAACAAGATGGCGGTAATGACGCGAGTTTTTAGCATGTGTAAATCAAACTTTGGGCTCAAGAAGTTGTTCGCTGGTACGCCCAAAACGGCGTTCACGATTTTGGTAAGATTGAACGGCCAAGTTGAAAGCTGCCTCATCAAAATCTGGCCACAAAGTGTCGGTGAAATAAAGCTCCGTATAGGCTAATTGCCATAATAAAAAATTGCTAATGCGTTTCTCACCACCTGTGCGAATGAATAGATCTGGCTCAGGCGCATAGTGCATAGCTAAATAAGGTGTGAGATGTTCTTCTCGGTAAAAGCCAGTCAACTGGGGGGTGGCAGTCTGCATTTTATTGACCGCTTGCAAAATATCCCAGCGCCCACCATAGTTTGCCGCGATAGTGAGCGTGAGCGCGGTATTGTTAGCGGTAAGCGACTCTGCCGCTTCAATTTGAGCAATCAGTGGCGCATCAAAACGGCTACGGTCACCAATCATTATTAGCTTGATATTATTTTTATGTAGCTTTTGTACTTCCCGCTGTAAAGCTTGCATGAAAAGTCCCATCAGATATGAGACCTCTTCTGCAGGTCTGCGCCAATTTTCACTACTAAAGGCAAATAGCGTTAAATGCTCAACTTTCAAGTTAAGACAATATTTAACAACATCCCGCACAGTTTCAACGCCACGCTTATGCCCTGCTACCCGTGGCAAAAATCGCTTGCGTGCCCAGCGACCATTGCCATCCATAATGATGGCAATGTGCTTTGGCGTTTGTGCCACTTCAGGTACAGTTTGTGTGGCGCTAGCAAAAAAAGCCATTATTTAGACCGCCATCAATTCAACTTCTTTTGCTTGCAAAAGTTTATCCACTTCAACAACGGCCTTATCGGTAAATTTTTGAATATCATCCTGCGCACGACGTTCTTCATCTTCTGAAATAGTTTTATCTTTAAGAAGTTTTTTGAGTGCATCATTTGCATCGCGTCGCACATTACGAATAGAGACCTTTGCGCCTTCGGCTTCAGAGCGTACGATTTTGGTCATATCACGTCGGCGCTCTTCTGTGAGCATTGGCATAGGCACGCGGATAACATCACCATTGGTGGCTGGGTTTAAACCTAAATCACAATCGCGAATAGCTTTTTCTACTTTGGCAATCATTGGTTTTTCAAAAGGTTGCACGTTAATTGTGCGCGCATCGCCTAAATTGACATTCGCCACTTGGTTGACGGCCACCATAGCGCCATAATATTCAACCATCACATGATCAAGCAAGCCGACATGCGCGCGACCCGTGCGCACCTTAGCAAGGTCAGCTTTTAGCACTTCAAGTGATTTTTGCATCTTTTGTTCAGCGTTTTTTTTCACATCTTCAATCATTTAGGTCTCCAACTCACTCTTTTAAATCACCACGCGCGTGCCTTCGTTTTCGCCCATCACCACACGTTTGAGGGCACCTTGCTTGAATATACTAAATACTGAAATCGGCATTTTTTGGTCACGGCATAAGGTAAGCGCGGTAGCATCCATTACTTTCAAGTCTTTAGCAATTGCTTCATCAAATGTGACAGTCTCATAGCGTGTCGCATTCGCATCCTTTTTAGGGTCGGCCGTATAAATACCATCCACCTTAGTGGCTTTCAGCACAATATCTGCATTCATTTCCATGCCGCGCAAGGCTGCTGCGGTATCTGTGGTAAAAAATGGATTGCCAGTACCAGCACCAAAAATCACCACGACACCCTCTTCTAAATAGCGAATCGCTTTTGCGCGAATATAAGGCTCGACCACTTCAACGTTAAGCGCACTTTGTACGCGTGCATTTAAACCAATATGCTTCATCGCATCTTGCAAAGCCATGGCGTTCATCACCGTCGCCAACATGCCCATATAATCAGCGGTTGCTCTATCCATGCCTGTTGCGGCAGGGGCAACGCCGCGAAAAATATTACCGCCACCAATAACCACCGCCACTTCAACACCTAAATCTACAATTTCTTTGACTTGACCAACGATATTGGTAATGGTCGCACGGTTAATGCCATAAGCATCATCGCCCATTAAAGCCTCGCCAGAGAGTTTAAGAAGAATGCGCTTAAAAGCTGGTTTTCTCATAGTTTTCCTTGCAATATTGTCTGAAATTTAACTTTGCTTATTTAAGCATAAAAACAGCCTTTTAGGCACAAAAACTGTGCGTGATTGTTGAATAATATTGTAAAAAAATCCGTTGTTTAAATGTGTGCGAAGTGCCATCAAAAATAAAGAAAGATTTAGGTGTAAACTGTAGAAAAGAAAAGGTAAAAGCCCTCGAGAAATTTTTATGCCTCTGCAAGCCGCATGCAGACTGGCTTACAGAGGAGGTGAAATGATATGTGTAATTAAACCCCATTTAAAAGCACTAAAAAATTCCAAAAAAAAGTGGATTAAGCATCTCGCCTAATCCACTTTTTTATTTAGTAAAAGTAATTACACTTTTGCTGCTGCGGCTACTTCAGCTGCGTAGTCAACAACGGCTTTTTCAATGCCCTCGCCCACCGTAAACATGGTGAATGATGCTACTGATGCGTCTTTAGATTTTAGTAATGATTCAATGGTAAATTTATCATCTTTAACAAATACTTGGCTAAGCAAAGTCACTTCTTTCAAGAATTTTTGCACAGTACCATCAGCAATTTTTTCTAACATTGCTTCAGGTTTTCCCGCCTCTTTTGCTTTTTCAATGGCAACACGGCGTTCTGCTTCAATCAGTTCTGGTGCAATGCCTGAAGCATCCAAAGATTTTGGCTTAGCTGCAGCAATGTGCATGGCAATATCTTTAGCCAAGGCATCATCACCACCAACCACATCAACCAACACACCAATTTTGCTGCCGTGAATATAGC